TCTTTCGATAAATTATAGGATATTCCTGGTGAAATTAGATTAAAAGTATGTTTATTTGATCTATGGAGATTAAAATTCTTTTTGTTTGCTACTCCTGAAGAATGAAGTAATACCGAAGCACAAGTTCATGCAGAATTATTAGCATTAAAAGCAAAACTAGTTAGCCAAAATTATAGTGATGCAGAAAGTATATCAAGTAATATAGAGAAGGATTGCGATTCTTTTAGTACTGAGTTATGGGATTCGCATTTGGCACCTACTTCACTTACAACAACTGAAGATGAACTAGAAAGATACTTGAGAGAGCAAATTGTACATAAACACCAAAACCTTTTAGTGTAGTGGAAAGAAAGATAAGCAGGTTTTCTATTGCTTTATCAGCTTACTCGAAAATATTTGTCTATACCTGCAATATCAGTCCTATTTGAACGTTTGTTTTCCGATGCTGGAGCTCATATCTCAGTAAGAAGAACTTGCCTTGCATCAGATCTAGTAAGAAAAATGCTATTCTTAAAAAGAAATAGTAATAATTTTCCAATATTACTTTTATTAGAAGATAAGTAGAATTTTTGATAAGTAGTAATTTATCAGTTAGATTTGTGCTATCTAATTTTCTAAAGTATATAAAGGTTGTATTATGAAATATAATAGCAAATAAACTAGCACGATTGTCATCTAAATGAATTTACTAATGATTACTGATAATATTAAAGTTTTGTTGTTAGATAATATAAACCAAGCCACAATTGATATTCTAACTTTAGAAGGATATCAGGTAAGTACAATATAACTTATACCATATATGTTAATTAAGTCTCAGTATAATAACATTTATATTTAAGAAAAAGGTTGAGGCATATTTAGAAACTCTTTCAGAAGATATTCTTATAGCAAAAATCTGTAATATATATTGTGTTGGGATTTAATCTAAAACCAAACTTACTAAAAATATTCTCTTAAAAGCGAAAAAACTCCTTGTGATTGGTTGTTTTTGCATCAATACTAGTCAAATTGATCTAAAAACTGCTACTAGCCAGAAAATTACTATATTCAATTTTTCCTTTGCTATAGTAGAAGTGTAGCTGAGCTAGTAATTGCTGAAATAATTATGCTGACTAGATATTTAGGTGATCATAATATTGAGATGCACCAAGAAATTCAAAATAAAGTACTAGTGGAATGCTATGAAATTCGTAGAAAACTCTTGATAACTTTAAATATTAATTACATGTATAGAAATTTGTTCAGACAAACGTTAGAATATTATATAAACAAAAATTCTCCTAGTTTAACAAATTTCTTACTACTCAAACTAGAGTTGGCATGTTATAATGTCAAATATGTTTCAATTTTTTTTTTGAGCATATGTTCAAAAAAAAATTGAAGCCATTGGACATTGCAATGTGACAACTCTGGCTCAAATATTAAGATTTTTAGTGTAAGTTTTCAATTATTTATAGTAAAAACTAATACTAATATTTCTAGGAATTATTGGTTATAGTCATATTGGGTCTCAATTATTTGTTCTTGCTGAATTCATGAGGATGGTTATATATTTTTATGATATACTTTGAATCATGCCTTTAGGAACTGCCAAGCAAGTTAATAACTTAGAAGAGCTTTTGAAACAATCAGACTTTGTTACCATACATGTTTCTGAGACTAATAAAACCAAAAATTTAATTAGTGAGAGAGAAATTTATAAAATGAAAAAAGGAAGCTATTTAATAAATACTTTTTGGAGTACTATCGTTCAAATTTCAGTAATTTTAAAAGGGTTAAGAATCGGGATTTGTCAAGTTTTTTTTTATTATTATCTCAAATTTAATTACTAGTTATTTAAATTCTAACTTAAATCAATTTATTTAGATATGTAATTGACATGCTTTCAGATGATATTAATGAGTATAATAATGATGGGCTAAGAACATGCAAGAATCTAATCTTGACACCACATATCAGTAAGTATATACTGCAAAATTTATTAAGTATATAACATTTATTATTAACAGTTACTATTTTTTTTTTTTAGGCAGATTGACAGAAGAAGCACAAAAATTGATAGGTGTAGAAGTTGCAACTGCAATTTTTAAATACATTAATCTTAAACTTTCAATGGGTACTATCAATTGATTTATATTTTTTAAACTTAAAAAGTTTATCTCATTTTATTTTTATGATTTTTTTTTTAAAAAAAGTCAAATACTGTTATATCAAATATATCGCCTCTAAATTTATTGAATTTTTTTAAATAAATTTCTATATACTAACTTTACTGATTTTCGAAATTGTAAATTCACAGATATTATTTATAGAGATGTGACCCGAGTTGGTTCATATCCCAAATATTTCCAGATTTAAGTTTATATCCAGGCATAAAATATAAAAGCATAATGATAATAAAATTGAATAATATATTGAATTTAATTGATTACACTTCTTAGTCATGAATTGCTTATAAAACCTTTATGAAACCCTTATAAAACCCTTATGAAACTGCTTATTTAATCTATTAATTTTTTATTGATTTTAATTGTTGATTAGTTGATTGTTTTTAAATAACACAATTTTAATTAATAAAAATTATACATAGTATTATATATAGTCCTGTAATTGAAATAATACGTAAATTTATAATTTTCTAATTTTATTATCACTTTATTTTATAATCAATATAAATTATATTCAGATTAACTGGATTGGGTTTACCTCAATTATATCCGAATTTATATATCTGGATTTATTTAAATATATCCAGATTTAATTATATCTGAATTAAACCAGATTAGGTTTTTTGACCTCAATTATATCCGGATATAAAAATAAATCCAGATATTAACTCTACTTCTTGCAACTACAGACAAGTTAATATGGGAATCATAATACACAACTAATTAGCAAAAAATATAAAAAAAATCTAAACTTTCAAAAACTTCCTCATTTAAATAAATCTATACTTCAAAAATAACTATATCAAACTTATTTAAATTTACTTTTCAACTTAGGAAAAACAACAACAATGCAAAGAAATACTTATATATATTACTCTAATTCTAAATATAGCAAATTCTAAAATCATAATCATAGGTAACCTAAATAGTACTTTAAATTCTAAAATTAATAGACTACTACTAAAAAAATATAATTTATCAGAAAACCAACTACTCAAAATTCTCAAATATCACAATTTCTATGACACCTTTTATCTATTCTATCCTTCTTCTCTAAAATATATATATATATATATCAATAGTACTAGTTATATTGATTAAATATAGACTAATATTCATATAACTTTTCTTGATTATGCTAATATTTTTTCTAACTTCTTTACTACTTCTGACTACTTAATTATTAGCTTAGAAATAACAATTTTAATTAATTAATCTACTAATACAGAAAATAATACAAAGATCTTCTTTAAATAAAACTTAGCTCAAGCTAACTAAATTGAAAAATATCAATATCATATTGAACAAAATCTTATTCGTCTACTAACTTTTATTACAGAAATTACAAATACTAATGATCTAAACAATATATGAAAC